TTTTTTTTTTTTTTTTTTTTTTTTTTTTGCCCTAAGCTTTATTCCGAACTGAAATAATCCATTTACGCATCCGTTAGGTTGATAATCGTGTAATCGTTGCAAGCTTACGTATATGTATAATTAATAGAAGCATTTATATTCCTAGCGGATATAGACAACAACAGTGGATTATTGCTTTCAAGAAAATTCCCTTCGAGATACAAATATGTTAAAGATGTTATCGATAACTTGTTGCAAAGTAGCGATCGATTTAAACGACACCGTTTGTTGATAGATGAACAAAAAAAGGATAAAAAGAAAAAAAAAGAAATGAAAAAAAAATACCTATAGAGATCCTTCGATAATTGTTAAGTTTAAGAAGGGCTGGTTTTTGGACAGCTTTGCTCGATCAGTTTGTAGAAAATGAAAAAAATGGTCGAATCCGCACATAGCGTATGACTCGCGTCATCTTGTTCAGAATTATTACTATTATTATCGTTATTGTAATTATTATTATTATTATTATCATTAATGTAGAGAGAGAAAAAATTATTATCGTTGCGATGTTTATGATTCGATGTTTCCACGTGATGATTCGAAGGAGGAGAGAAATAATTTCATAATTTGTCGATCGATAATGTTAAATTAATTTTAAAAAAAATTACAATTAAAAAAATCTAGCACTTTATTGTCTTACAACTGAAATAATTTTATTACCATTTTACTTATTTTTATTCTTATTATAAAATCTTGGTTATATCACTGAGATTGTGGATTTTTGTGGATGCAAAACATGTTCAAATAGAAAATAATACGTATTCGTTTCGATTTTTCGTATGAAAAAGATAAGAACAAACTATAAATTTTATTATCAAATTCTTTCTCTATTTCCTGATATATATATAATAGGAAATAAAGAAAGTCGTACTATTGAAGTCAATATTTGATTGCCGAAATATAATGATTCAAAATCTTCATAGCTTTAACAGAGGACAGATATTATGAATCTGCTTATTTCTCCTACAATATAATCAATGAGACAAGATGCGAGTGAAAGTTCTGGATAAGCGACAAGAACGGTAAACGATAAAAAATTACTTTTTACTTTACACGACGATATCTCGGGAACTGGAAACTATATCGAAATAAATGAAAGAGAATTTTAAAGAGCAAGGATCCCCGTTTTTAATGATTTTTCACTCATTGATCTAGGATTATTATCTTTGAAGTTATAGCGATTTAAAGTTTTTCTAATTTTAATTGAATTTCTAAGGTATGTTAGCGATAACTCGTGCAAAGTCCGGGTGTGTGACAAGGACAGAAATAGTAAACGATTAAAAATTATCCTTTTCTTTACACGAGGATATCTCGGAAACTGGAAGTCGTATCGAAATAAATCATAAAGCATTTTAAAGGACAAGATTCAGGGTTTCTAACGATTCTTGATTCGTTGGCCGAAGATCACTATCTTTGGAGTTATAGCGATTTAAAGTTTTCTTAATTTTAATTGAATTTCTAAGATACATTAGCAATAATTCAGCGAAAAATTATCTTCTTTGCATATCGATATCTCAGGAACTGAAAATCGTACAGAGATAAATCAAAAAGCATTTTAAAGAGTAAGATTTCGCACTTCTATTGATCTTCGATTTATTGATCAGAGATCATTATCTTCGAAGTTATAGCAGTTCAAATTTTTCCTAATTTTAATAGAATACAATCGAGTTTTATGATAAATCATATATTATGATTATTTTTAATCTATTTAACATAAATACAGAACATGCAATATGAAAAATATGTATTTGCACAAAAATCCACAGTCTAATTATATTGTAAATACACACATATGTGATGATACATTAATTTATATTATATTCAGAATTCATAATAAACATTCGTTTTAATTATTGAAAAGACGATTAAGTGCTACACATACATATATATATATCTCGTCAAAGATTATTTCTCGAAATCGACAAACTCGAATAGAGCGATTATCTTATCTTATCTTATGCACATGGTAAAAAAAAAAAAAAAGTAAAAAACGTAGATCCTTCGATTTAAGCTCGCATGAATCACGAAGAAAGAAAAGAAAAAGAAAAAAAAAAAAAAGAAGAGGAGCCACTAATCTAGAGAACAAGCATTTTTAAGTTCCCTTTTTCCTTTGCTTTGATGGGGTTACACGTGTTATATGGATAAGCGGCATTATCCGAATAACAATGAAATAATAGAAACATACTAGGTAAGGAAATGTTTGCAAATGAAATTGATAAGTGTTTTAATATTGTATCGAAGCGTGTGTATATGTATCTCGCGAAGAAAAAAAAAAGAAAAAAAAAAGAAAAACTCGAAAAAAAAAGAAGAAAAGAGAGAAGAAAATTAAAACGCCATCGATGCCTACGCCCCCCCCCCCCCCCCCTCTTCCCCGTTTTATTCACGATATTTAAAAAACACTTCACGATTCGTAAAGCCCCCGATACGATAAACAACACACAACACCGTTCGCGGGCCGCGGTCTTCTTCGTTTGTTGTACGTTTCAGTATCAGCGTCCGGATTTATCGTTGGAGGGGGCGACGACTCGATCGACTCTGCCGATCTCCTCATTCGATCTCTGTATCGCCCACCCGATAATCGATTCGTTCAACGGTGGAAGTAGCAATAAAATTTCACTTGCTTCCTCCTAATCATCCTCCTAATCCTCATCATCCCTATTGTTCACAACTATGAGAAGTTATTTATTAGAGGTGGCAGGGACGATGAGCGAGCGCCCCCTTGCGAGGATTAAATAATAATGAGTTGCGAATAAGTATACGTATTTTCTCAATGAAAAAAATGATAAAAAGGATATATATACATATATATATCTATACAATAAAATACTTCCACTGTAAGATATCGTGTTATCTTTTCCTCTCCTAA